AGAGCTTTCAACTACTGTAAACATTTGCTACATTTATACATAGACATCTGCTTATATCACACAGTTCAATGTCATTTATTAGGACACATAAGGCAATGCAGGATCTCCAAAATAATCTCTCTTATCTGTAAGTCACTAAGCAGCAAACACTATCTAATCAATAAGCACAATACAAGAACAATACAACTCTATCTGTAAACACCAACTGCATTTTTATAGACATTAACTGTTAGCAAGGCTCAGCAATCAGCAATATTCATTTTTCATAATGCAACATTTTATCAAGATTAATAATATGCTGAACTGATTCAAGTCTGCTTAATTTTGCTTCTCTTAACCCTCAAAAATGTATCAAAGCTAAAAAAAAAAAAAAAAGCTTTTTGTTACAGACAAGACAGCTTCTGTTAATAAATACTGCTAGTCCTCAATATTGCTACGAATAGGTTCTCTATTTGGCTCTCCTAACAGAAAAAACTCACAGCTCTAGAAAACATGCTGCAATTCTTGAGAGAATGTCAAGAACCACCTCCCAAAAAGCAATATGAAAAGCAACTAAACTGTAAAATAAGCTTAGACAACAATGGCAGAAACACTATGTTCCTAGCACCTCACTTTGTGCAATGAAAATCAAATTGTGACTTATGACAGTGCAATAATGAGAATTATTCAACTGCCATAGTGTGGCAGTTATACAGAAGTGCTTAAGGACTGCACAGATTTAATTTATATAAACACAGTCCTCGGTTTTTTGAACAGAAAAACTTGGAGCTTTTCCTGTCCGTAGAATATTCAACCGCAATTTGGTAGCAACTTGTATGCAAATAAACTCAATGTAAATGGAAAGCTAGGTCTTAACTGAAATATAAAGCCAGACATAACTTTTACAGTGTCAAAAATGCATTTCTAAATTAAGTATCTTAAATAAAACAAGATTTGTCATATCTATTACTTATATCTTTGCATAAAGATTTTAGTTTGTAGTTTTAAAATAATTCTTATAACTAAATCACTTACCTCCTTGCTCTATATCTGAATCAGTAAGATGTGTAAGAGAAAAGCTTGCCATGTTTGCAGGAGAGATAGAGAATCTGGAATAAGGGGATGAATGTGACCAGTTCTGATCAAGAGTCCGGGAAGGTGGAGGTGGAGAGAAGTACTTTGATGACTGAAGAGGTGGTTTCGAACTAGTAAGACTATTAGCTGCCTTTGATATAAAGGATGGCTCTGGAGAAGAAAAGTCATCATCCCATTCAAAACCCCCACCTTTTTGGGGGGGAAAAAAAGGAAAAAAGAAAAAAGACAATTTACAGTAAGGTAAAGTCATACACAGAAGACTAGAAGACTGCATTAACCCAAAACAAAACTTACAGCTTTTCTGTTCTAGCCCCAGGTCATAGAGATTTCTCTCTCATAGTTTGGTTGCCTCTCAAGATACTCTAGACACATCAATACATAAACAACCAGTATTGCATCACAAGCTTTGATAATCAGTAACACTAGTATCTGAGCCCAGCTAAACTGTATACTTAGGATGAAGTCAGTATGGTACAGTGCATTTACAAATAACGTATAATTTAAATGACATTTCATTAAAACCCATGCATGAAAGTCTCAGCCCTTGCTGTGTATAAATATATTCAAGTACCTTCTTCATCTGTTGAGCTTTCTGAATTTGCAAATCTGTTTAAGTAACTGAAACTCGAAGATGGAACAGGAGTGCTGCGAGAGCCTTCGCCGTTCACGTCTGCTGCAGGGTTTCCCAGCTCCTTAGTTGGAGTTTCCTATGGCAAACAACAAAACTCATTTAACTCTCTAACTCAAAAAATACACTCCCTCATCCCTGCCACCAACTCCTCCCCCATCCCTGCCATCAAATCTACCGTGGAATTAAATGGTCTGCAAACTCTTAAGCTGGTACTACACAACAAAACTTTGAGTTGTAGACTAAGCATATGCACGTATTTCTACTTCTAAAGAAAGTGGTATCAAATCTATGCTAAAATTCACACAGGAAATTATTATTTAAATATTATTTATGATACATAAAGTTTCATATTCCTAGGAACAAAGCTAAAACAGCTTCCAATTGAAAACAGTTCCCTTATCAGCCTGACATAGGTAAGGTTTTTTTTCTATTTAATAAAGCCTTACCCTGACTCCCAACATTTTTTTTTTAATGTTTTTTTTTTACCCCTTAATCATGCTTCAGGATAAAGAGACAGACTTTGTATGACCAGTATTCGAAGCAGCCAACATTTTATCAGTTACTGTAATAAGAAGTAAAGACTTCAACAACTAAGAGCAATTTAAACACAGCTTTTTTTTTCCTTCCCCTCTGACAAAAGGATTACTATTCTCCAGACTGCCTAAACACAAATATATGACTTATGTTTTCTATTCCAAAACACAGTTATCTCTAATATTTATGTGCGTCACCATCAGCAATATTTCTAAAGCTTGACAATATGACTGTTCTAAATTTTAAACTCACTGTACTGGTTTAGTTGCCATAATGTTAAAATACAAACTCCCTCTGTATCAAGTTACAAAAGTGAAAAATTGATAAAGCAGGAAGGGAAACAAAGGTAACCTTGGATTTTATAAGCAGATCAGTATTTCACTGAACTTGAATCACACTGGACTAATAAAAAGTAGCATTACCATCTAAATACTGCTCTCATCTTTGATTATGGTTTAAGGTAAATTTACCTGAATGTTAACTAACACAAGATGCAGAGTTAGGTTGTGGTTTGGTTTCTTTTTTTGGATGGTTGGTTTTGCTTTGGTTTTTGTTTTGTTTTTTTTCTTCTTTTCTTTTATAAAGGCATTTGAACCTAAATTTGAGGTCCTCGAACTCATTAAACAGATAAACTGTCTCTATAAAGTTACAACAACATTCTAGTAAAATAAATTAATCAAAGCTGGTCCATAATGATGCTGTCTCATATATTCAAATTAAATACAGCTTGTAAACATCAGAAAGACATGACTAAAAGCCACATTTCATTCAGCGCCTGCAGTCAAGGGTCCACAAGCAATGGAGATTCAGGATTTGGCAGCCAACCCTGACCAAAGCAAAACCCTCCTTCCCTTCAAATTAGTGCTGCTATTCCACCAGCAGCACACAACTGCATCTAGCCAAGAAAAAATAACCCACATCACAAACAAGATCTAACCCTGCAAGACAAGAAAGGCGATCTTGTAACGATGTGTCCACAAGTATTATTAAGCTATTCTACCACGTCTTGTTAAAAAAAAAAACCCTAAACCAACAAAAACTTTACTTAGCAATTAAAAAAAAAAAAAAAAAAGGATACCTGATCAAACAAATAGACCGTCACATCATCAAAGAACGTAACAGCCTTCTTCTCATTTTTCCAGTTCTCATGTTGCCTTTCATTAAGAGGTTTTGGAAGTTTTAACAAGCTTCTCAGATGTTTTCCATCATCCTTTTCAGTAAGTATCTCAGGTACTTGATGAACAGTTTCATCTTCACTGTCAGAACTCAGACTATGCATATGAAAAGTCCTCATGTCATCCTCAGAATCACTATTTTCATCTTCCTCATCTGCATCATCACCATCTTCTAAATCAAGCATTCCAGAAACATCAAGTTTGCCAAGGTATTTTCCTTCAATATCTGGCTCTTTCAGTTTTTGTCCTTCAAGGTGATAGAAGGACTTCTCACCATTACTCAGATCTAAAGGACTGTGTATGTTATGCACAGACTTTAAGTCTCTGTGTGAAAGAAGTTCTGAAGTATTAGTGCCAACACAAGAGACTGTTTTATGGGAAGTCTCAGATAATTTTATTTCATCCCTTAGGTTAATTCCTGTCGATATTTCCAAGGAGTTCAGAGTTGCCTCAGCCCACTCATCAGGACACCCCTGCATCCTTCCATCCATCTCTTGCATCTCCAAGTTGTGATTTAGTTCTAGTTTTGCACTTTGATTATTGGTATCCTGGTGATTCCCCACATCACACTTTTGCCGTCTCTCTTCAAAACTGCAGTCCTCTTCAGTGTTATTCTCTCCTCTGTTTGAAGGAACAACACACATAGTCTCTCTTAACAGATTTACAGTCTCTTCTGTTTTTTTATCTGGCTCAGAATCATTATCAGAGAAATAGGCAGAGTCTCTATACGAGTTTTGATTTCCACCCAGGAAAACCTTTGGGGTTATTTCAAAATTGCTGTTCACTGCATCTAAACAAGCTGCTGCTTCTGAAACAATTATGACTGGATTAGAAGGCAAAGCACTGACATTGCTCTCGCTAGCAACACAGAGAGCAGTATCTACACTAGCAGCATCATCAACAGTAATATGTGAAGTCCATTCTGGAGATTCCAGGTTCTCTGTTTCATAGCCACTGTCAGCAGGTTTGTCAGGCGGCAGAAGTTTCTGAGGACTTTGAGCCTGTAAAGATTCTAAAACCTCATTTACATCTAAAGAATCCAAAGAATCAGGTGTCTCTAGGGATTGTTCTACAGTTTGTATAGGAGATGGGCTGTCTTCCAAAAGACTATCCTGACTCATACAATCTGAAGTAGCAACAGAAATTAAGGTCACCTCTTCCAGAACATCCTTACAGTTCTCAAAATGATCTGATGTTTCTTGTTCTTCCTCCAATAAACATTGATCTTTTTTTAATACAAGAGACTTATCTTGCAAGTTTCTTTTCCCATCTCCCTGATCACTACATTTTTCTCTACTAAAAGCTATTTCATCAGACTCAAAAAGCATTCCTTGTTTTATTTCTGTATCACACTCATCTGTTTCAACAGCAACACCGTAATATGGATTGTTTCCAACACTACTGTTTTTGGCATTATTGGATAGCTCCTCTTGACAGAGAATATCAGTGTTACAGGACATGACTTCACTGACTTCCACATTTAAAAGTTTTCCCTCATCCTTCATATAAGGAAGATTTGCATGGTTATCACACGACTTATGTGCTGCAGATGGACTAGAGGATGCCTGTATCTCTACAGTAGTCTGAGAATTCAGATCTTTATTCATTGTCACTGGGTTAAAATTTTCATCTTTCACTGTTTTAAGACTTTCATGGATTAAAGAAAAGACCTGTGCGTTTTCAGCCAACACAGGCTCAGGCTCTACTGACTTTCTATTTGAGGTTTCTAATATACTTTTTAGAACATCATCTTGTTTTTGCCCAAAATCACTGCTGGTTTTGTTAGACAATAACCCTGTTAATAAGTTTTTCTCTTGAAGAAATAAAAAGTTAGCAGAAAGTTCTTCTGAAGTTACCAAGTCAGACTGGTTAGAGATATTTTCACATAAGGAAACTGTTTCATTTTCAGAAGCATTACTAGAAGACCCCTTTTCAGAAAGGCCTGCTGTCTTTCTAGCATCTGCATTTGAGTTTAAAACAGCTGGTTTAAAGTCTTTAGGAACATCATTTGTTTCAGTAAAACTAAGTCTTTTTCTGCTTGTCAATTCTTCTGATCTGTCAATGTCACTAAAGATATTCTGGAAAGGACTTTCTGGACTACTAGTAGCAGGCAAAAATTCCTCTTTAGGATCTGTACTGTAGTGGAAGAAGTCCCCGTCAGTGCTAGATTCTTCAATATCAAGATCCCTGAGAACTGCAAAATGAGAACTTTTTTCTTGTACAGCTTCTTGATGATCAACTTCTGTAGTTAGTACAACTGATTGGTTATCAAAATTCATGCTACACCCACATCCTTTTTCCTCTAACTGGATATAGTAGTCATTCCCAACAGAAAGCTTGTGTGCATCAAACACAGGTAACACCCCAGGGACAGCAAGTGATGCTTCTTGACCACTTCCATCCTGTGCTCCCGACCCTTGCTCTGAAAGTGACCTCTCAAAAACCTCCACCGGAAAGAAAATACTTGTGTACGTCATTGCTTCGTCAGGATTCACACGACCACATTCATCAAAGTGATCATGTTTAGCTGCCTCCCAGATATATTCAAAGCTGAGACCATGGCTTGTTTCAGTTACAGTAAGAACTTCCTCCATCTCATGGCCAAGTCTTTCTCCTGTGAAGTGATCCAAGATTGGAAATGCAGAATTATTTATTTCTCTGTTGGAGGTGTTTGGTTTAAGAGCATTCCACTGCTGTTCAAAGTCAACCTCCGAGTCCCTTTGGCTTTGCATGCGAAGGTAAGTTAAGAGTCTATGCACTTCTTCTGCTGTTGGTCTCTTTTCTGGAGGTAGCCAACAGAACTGCAGAACTTCATACCTATACAAATAAGAAACATGTTTCAGTAAGTTTCACACTGAACAGGAATTGATAAAATTCAGATAACTAACAAGCTAAGGAGTAACGATTAATATCACTGGCAGGAATTTCCATCTATCGCAACTGCTTTTACTTTTATCGAGGATTCCTTTGCCAGGAGCATGATTCCATATAGCAATTTCAGTATATTTAAGAGAATCGAGTAATTTCAGAAAACTCTTCAGCAGCTTTAAGAATAAAGAAAAACATTTAAAGTTTACCATCTATCAGAATATGGCTGCTCCAGTTGTGGCTTGAAGAGTTTAACCTGTTTCTCCTTTATCACATGGGTTAGGACTTCCTTGTCAGAAAAGTCTGAATAAGGCTGAGCAGCATTCTCAAACAGCTCCCATAATGTGACACCCAGAGACCTGAAAAAGAGCAGCAAATGACTGTGCATTCTAAGAACTATTTTAAAGTTGCTTTTTCTAACAAAGTAAGGACTATGCAAAGCAAAACTGACAAGAAGAAACAAAAATTACTCTCCCATTGGCTCTGTAACAACTTCAGAATCTGTTAATTCATTTTATTTGACAGAATCCTAGAAGCCTCAAGAATAAAGTTGCTTGAAGGCAATGACAATGAAGGCAACACCAATGAAGGCAACAAAACAGAAGAGGCCTCAAATGATTCAACTATGGAAGAAATCCCCATATACTAAAAAAAAAAGAAGTAGAAAATGCCTGCTTTGAGATGCAAAATGAGAAAACCTTATAGTTAGTCCAAATGTATGAAAAGCTTTCATCACAACTTGCAGTTATGGGTCAAACTGCTAGAAAATTTATGTTTGTTTCAGTTTTCATGAAATTACTTATTTTTAAGCTGCAGTGGTCAGAAGCTGCCTCTTTGCTCAGTATGTATAGAGCACTCATCACATTTTCTGTGATGAGAGTTGATGCTGATCTTTGGGCAACCTTTCCTTGCTCAAAAAGTAACTGACTCTGCACGTATTACAGTCGGATAATATAGATTGGAAGGGGTCTCTGGAAGTCATCTAGTCCAAACCTGTTCAAATTAGATCTGTATTAAAGGCACTAAAATTCAAGTTGGAAACCTTTAGACCCCAGCTGCTTATAGTTTAGATGAACAGTATGATCTGAGGAAGCGTGCTTGAAGAATGCAAAGAAATCAGTATTTAGATAATTTCTATCTATCCTACTTGCATTCTGCAATCCTACCTTTACAGTAGCAAATAAAACCTTGTTTATTATTTAATATCCTTAGAACAGACTAACAGGAATTGAACTACAATGTTTTCAGAAATGTTAGCCTAAGCCCCAATTTCCATTATCCAAATTTCTTAGGACTTGAGAATTGAAGTGGAACTCGGTGATTTCAAAAAAGTTAATCTTCAAGATTTGCACCAGTCTTTGTCTATAAGCTCTTTGGTAGCAAAGACAAATGGTTAACTGCAGCCCTCAAATGCTGCAGTAAGAAATTAAGAAGCTACTGTTCTACCAGTGGAACTTAATGAGGCTCTAGCGGGATCAGCTTTTTATGGCATCTGCAGCTATTCATTACTGGAAAAACCATTTACCATTTCCTTCCTTTATAAACATTTGGAGGCATTTGTCAAATACACAGTAATTACTTTTATTAGTATGAACACTTCTTTTTTTGCTAAACAGTTTTTCTTAATCCAGTAGTTCTTTCAACAGATTTCTAAGCATCTCTCCAAAGCAAGGTAGTTTCAGGTTTTCAGAGATTAACCTACTGTACATCCGATGAAATTAAGAAGTAGTGCATCAGGCCAATATTCAATTTAACTATAAATATTATTTACTCCTTTGTGAAACATTTGAAAATACGTTCACAAATATATAATTGAAATTATTTTAAAGCCTACTACATACCATATGTTACTGTATTTATTTTGCTCTGCTGATAACAGTCGGTCTTGAAAACTTGTGACTAACTCAGGTGCAGTCCATCGGAGAGGAACAAGTTTCTTCTCATCTGTCTCAATATAATCTTCCTAAATTATTGATAAAAAAACCAGAAAAAGACTGAACAAACATTGGATCAACTTCCCGAATTCAACAGTCCTTTCCTTAATATGGTTTTATGTGCTCCTTATGCAAAAAAAATAGAATTTAAAAAATTAATCAAATTTTTCCCAAGTAACAGAGAAAAATGCAATAGAGGAGATGCATTCACCATTCACTGCATAGCAGAAAAAATGAATGTCAGTTTCTTGTTTAAGGCTAGGTACTCAGAAAATGTTTTTAATTGATGCCTTGAAATTTTCCACTTTATTGATATATTTAAATACTTTGAACATTAAGAGATTTGATTGAATTTTTCCTTTAAAACATTAAACTGAATTTGTGCGTATTTTAGCATTACTGTAAATAGGACCTAAAAAGACAGATTTAACCAGAAGCTTCCTTCTACAAGCATAAACTACAGTCACCTCTGGAAAGATCATCTATTCTGTTACATGAGCTTGCTATGGTTATTTGCCAGTTATACTCTGAAAGTCCATTATTCAAATAAAGGACAATCTAGTATCAGTTTAACTTTAAAGTATGCTTGTTATAACTTCAGACCCTAAATCCTTTAAAAAAGTGGTATGTGACTAGATTAACTTACCTTATATCTACTGAATCCTATACCATAATCTCCTACTTTGACATTTAAATCAGATGTAAGAAAGCAATTCCGTAAGGCCAAGTCACTGAAAAAGCAAACAAATAAATGAGACCAAACCAAGAAGTCTTCAATGTAAATTAAGACAAGTGGGATAACAGAAGTGACACTTCTAAAGTTAGAACAATCAGGCCACAGTGTAAAGTGCCAAATGAAAAGCCAACAAAATTCTAAAAATAAAATAAAATTTAAAAATCAAGGATTTCTGCACAACTGTAGGTTACAGTAGCGAGTAGCAGGTCATAATAGGAGCAGATCGGTAATACAAACCAGCTAGCACTAAGGATTCAACATCCACACTATATACACTTCACCAATTTTATTCACCAGCTGTAGTCCTAAGCCATAGACCTAAATCCTACTAAAGGCTAAAGCAAGCTAGATGCAAGAAAGATGGGCTCCTGGAGCGACCTTTCTGCTTCTCTGTGGGCAAAATTAAACCAGTCCATGCACAGCAAAACACCAACTCATAATGCAAATCCAGACACAGGAACTGAAGACATTAACTTCTGAAGTACAGTTTTGATCCAAACTAAATGTTAAGATGGTTCTCTTGTTGCTTCCATTTTCATTAAGTTTTAGAACCTATATAAGCCAACAATTGATCCCATATCTCACTGGAATACTGCAGACACCTTAGTTCTGTATAAACACTCATCGCTTTCAGAAAAACCAAGCACTGACAGGATCTCTCCTTACAGCAGACTTATCGGACAAGATTTGTTTTGTGGCCATAGGGATGTGACTTCCTTTAGGCCCTCCCATATTTTTAAGAGAGATAATCAGTGTAGAGCCACATAATCAAGCAGAATCTGTGTTCTAGAATCGAAGTAAAACTAAACATTGTGACAAGGTAACCACATTTAAAGATTTTATACAAAAATCTAGATACTGTGCTGGCCTTCATAAAAACAAGTTTAAAATGTAGTCGCTTCTCTAGAGTAGTGACGTATACTCTTGAGCTTTCAAACTACACATAGAATTTCCATGCAATTATTTCATTCTACTAATAATCCTATGATGTAGATTACTTAGGCTGTTCACAGGCTTGAGTGAGGTAGGTCCCTCTTTACCTAACACCTGTCGTTGCACCTCTTGCATTTTAATTATCAAGAGCAAAATCTATCAACAATTCAGATCAGGTTTAAATACTTCACTATTTAAAATACAATGCTCAGCAACTAGTAACACCTTACACCTACAGTTAAGTTCCTCTAAATAACAAAGCCATACATTACACATGAGCTAGAACTACAGATGGTCTTTGAAAACCATTAGAAAGAGTCATGTATTTCACAGAAGTCTTTTAATAAACAAATCCAAGAGCTCTTGAATACATACTGTAGTTTCCAGTTTCCATCATAAACCAGACCACAAGCAGCCAGCAGTGCTGCTGTAATAGTGCCAAGAAGCTGTTTTAGAAAACCTATCGTGAAAACTCAGAAATTTATGCAAGTTTAATGAAGCTGCATGCTTATTATGGAACTGTAGCTGTGACAGCAAAGCGCTCTGCCAGATAATTGCTCAAATATTTTGCTTCTCAGTTTCACAAGAGGGTACCAGGCAATTAAGTGCACTGGAAGAACTCTGCCATTGCTTCTGTGTGGCTTAAAAAAAAGTCTCAGAATTACAAACAGTCTGAAAGCCACACAGCTTCCCTACTTCAAAGAAATAAGAAAATGTTTTCCTTTCCAGACTCATTGAACCACACAGGTCAAACACATTTGTAACCCTCAATACAACCCAAAGCTTTCCAACTTGTTTTTTAATATTTAAATAAATATCCTGGAAGAGAAAATAAAAAGTTGGCTGCTTGAATTTACCACTAACAACAAAATCACTGATGCTGGAGCTTTACCACTTACTCTGACAGCATCAGGATAGTGTTGCTAGAAGTAAACATTTACAATGAGAATCTTGTAGATCCACAGAATAATTATTTATCAAGTTTAACTATTTCACTGACAATGTACTGTTAAATTTAATACCTACAGAGCCATGCTGCTGCAATACAAGAAACAAAGATCACTCAGTTTGACAGGTAAAATCTGTACTACCTTCAAGTCATTTGACATTGTTAAACAGGTTACAAGAACAGCTCTGCCTGTCAGCCACCAGCTGTGGCCAGGCTTTGGGGTTTTCTCAGTGTTTTGGTGTTGGTTTCTACTTGCACTTTTTAAGAATTCAGTTTAATAGTTCAGCTGCTCCCTGAACATGAAGTTCTTGCTTTCTCTAAGTAGCAAGATGTTCATTTATAAGCTCTAGCACAAATCCCTAACTTGCTGAAAGGGATGATACAAGTGCTGCTTCTACAGCAGAAAACAGACCCGATTCAACATAAAACCAAAATAAAGGTTTCATCAGCTAAGCCATGTCTGGGGAGCAAGTACTCTTCAATACTTTGGCCATTACAAGTCTAAGGTTGATGTCTTCCAGTTCCTTAACACTTCCTTGTTTAAAGCAAAAATAATTAATTTTGGCATATTTCTGAGCAATTAAGTTTCATCAATACATTTTTTTCTCCTTTTACTACTACTGCCATTCTTTCAATAGCAACTTAATAAACTTTAATTAAAAATAAAGAAGTCTAGCATTTTTCTCCCTTGATTAAAATGGAGTTTTTCTCCCATTATGATTTCTTCTAAATGTGACTACCTCCATTACTGAAGATGAAAAGGCTACATGAACAACAATGCAGTGAGAGAACCCCTGCTTCAGTCAGATTTTTCATCTAAAGTCAGCTTCTCCCTTACTGCATTAGAAAGGAAGTGGTTTTCATTTTTTTTTCCATTTTTAGTAACAAAGGTAACAGATTACTAAACAGAAGTTCTAAATTGTTATAATCTGTAAAAAATACACAGCAAGTAAGATTCATTCTAACATCCCACGCACATAATAAACAAAACAAATTTAACTTTGACATGAATTAATCAGACAACTACATCTTCTGGATTGGCTTAGTGGCAGGTTGTATTCTATGGGCTGCAAACCTAAAAAGTAGGTGATCAGCTTTCAGTCAAGTGGGAGCTGTAACACCACCGCAGTTAAATTAGCACCTTCAGAACCATCACACCTTCATGACTTAGGGTATGCAAGTTAGACAGAAGGTTGTTAAACCACAATCTTCAATACACATGGATTTTAATGAAAATAGGTACAAGTAATTTATCTGGAAAGCATACCTGTGCACAAAATTATGTTTATGCATTACAGCAAGTCCAGCAGCAATCTCGCACGCCATTCTCTGTAGCAGCATTATTTGTGAATCTCCTTTAATGTGTTCCTGCTCACTGCTGATATAAGTTTTTAGGTCACCCTGTAAAAGAAGTTGAAAATACTTATCAGCCTTGTATATTGGTTGAATCTGAAAAATATTTAATGAAGAACCAACTAACCATATTACTTATTAACCACACCTGTGCTTAATAAAAAAATTTCCACAGGTTTCCAGTCTCCATAAGGATTCTTATAGAAGTCATCTAAGGCATATGGTATTGTCCTTTTAAGGGTTTTTAATCAAATAATTTAGTAATTAACATTCTAGATCATACTGTTACATAAAACCTGTCATACAATATTACTTTCCATTAAAAACAAGAGTTTTATGAGTTTTTGGTTTTAAATGAGATGAGTTTTCAACTGCTCCAAATCAGTAAAGCTGACTGTCTGGAATTTGCAAGGGGATGGAAGGGAGAGACCAGAGAAAAGGGTTTCAGACACTGCCAGCTCACCAGAGTGTTAGACATAAAAAGCACTGTAATACATCCCACTCCAATCAGAGAATACAGAAGATGGCAGCAGTTTTACTGAACCTAGGCAAAGCTGAGCAACAGACACATAATTAATGAGCCCACAGAAGCACTCCATAAAAACAGAACAGCTTTGAAACAGAGAATATAACTGGAAGTTGTCAAATATTCAGGAAAAGCAAGACTATAGCAAATGAATTCAAGCAAGGGAAGAGAACAAGTTTCTCATGCCATTATTGTTCCTACTTTCACAGCTGGACTTTTAACCTAGCACCCCTATATTCTTGTTATTTAAAATACAGACTTTCTTTAAGTTTAGCAAACTACTTCAGAGTTGCAACTGCACAACATCAGTACATCACAAATTGTTTCACCAACGTAACTGTCCATGTCCACTGTCTACCTAAGTCTTTGGCCAGGACCGAGACTGAAGGAAGTCTTGAGATTGACCAGACAAGAAGGCAATCCTTCCACTGGCTAAAGAGCTCTGATGTTCAGAAAAGACTGAAGATCACTAAACTTCCTGTTTCCCTGGTGCTCATTTACATTATGGAGCTGGAACTGAAGCATCTCATTCCTCCTTAATACAGTTAATTGAGGATGACAATTTACAATTCCATTAGTTCGAGCCGCAGATGTCTGTGTCGTGCGTTAAAACCTAACAGTGCTGTGACAGCTGAGGCTGGACGGTCACAAACCTGGGTTATATTGAATAAGATAAGAAGCAATGGGACGGTCTATTTAAAAGCAAACACTACTCCTATGTAAAACAACTTCATTTTAATTTTTTAAAACATTGATTCTACAGTACACACAAGCAGCTATTCTACCTTCATCTGCTTTATATGTACTACTTAAGCTGCAAGTAGCTATAGCACCTTGTGAGAAAGCATGTGTAATTTCAAATACTGTTTCATGTTGTAGAAGCCTTCATTACATTCTCTTTATCCTGTTTTTAGCTACTAATTAGGTAACATTTACGTATTTGCATCCTATAGAATTTCATTTTTTAAAATGTTTCCTGAAACATTCTTATGACTTACAATTACAGCTTTAATATTATACTGGCTCATGCATGCATGTATGAACGCTCTGTATAGACACAGACACCCCTTTCTCCCTTGCCAGAGTAGATTTACTAGAGCAGAGTTCCAAAGAAACTACAAAAGGAACAGTGTCCATAACACACACAGATTCCCAAGCCTAACGAATACAAGCAGGTACAAAATATCGAGCTTAACTGACTCTAGGTGGCAGCAAGCACCTGAAGAAAGTCAAACTCTCCAAAACTGTTGTCATTCATTAAAACAGCAACTGGTTACTTAGGGTTTGGCCCAGGTGCATTAAGTCCCTAGGTCTGAAATTCATCAAGGAATTACTTCTTAATTTTTAAATGCATTAGTGACATCAGTGCTGTATGGCTTCCCTTATTTACTAAATAACTAATGCAGGCACACATTTTTGCAGGAAACACAACTTTTATTAAATCCAGCACCTTGAAATATACTAGTTCTATTTTTCCCATTCTACTCTAATTAAGGGTCCAATCAAGGTAAATATAAAACAGGGGGGTTTTGTAATTGCTTTGAAAGGACATTGCTTATATCAAACTGGGGGGAACCAATGAATACAGTCAAGTGCTGGACTGCCATCCAGAGAGACCTGGACAGGCTGGAAAGAAGGGTCCAGAAGGCTCCACAAGGACAAATGCAAAGTCTTGCACTTGGAAAGGAAAAACCCCTTGCAACAACACAGTGAGGACTGACCAGCTGGGCAGCATCTCTGAAGGAAGGGACCTGGGGATCTTGGTAGACAGCAAGCTGAACATCAACCACCTGTGTGCCCTGGCAAAGAGTGCAAGCAGCATCCCAGGCTACATCAACAGGACCACAGCCAGTAGAACAAGGGAAGAGATTATCCCTTTCCACTCAAGAGCTTCAGGCTGGGCATAAGGAAAATGGTTTTCCACACTGGAGCAGAAGCACTGGTTGCCCAGAGAGACCATGTAGTTTCCATCCTTGGATGTTTTCAGCATTCAGATGGTCAAAGCCCTGAGAAATCTGGTCTGACCTCAGGTTGACACTGCTCTGAGCAGGAGGTTGGAGCAGAGAACTCCTGAACTCCTTGCTAGCCTGAATTATCCTATGATGCTGCCCTGCCTACAAGCAGACACTAGCAATACATCAACACTATTCCCATACTGTTTTATGAGCCACAAAATGGCTCTTTATCAGACAGACTTTTTAACACAGTAAATATCAAGGTTATACATCTCAGAATAAACACAGTTCTGCAAAAGTCACTGCTCAGACACCTAAATATAAAAAGCTCAATAATCATTCTTGAGGAAGGCTCTACTCTCTCTCCAACTTCCTCTGCCTCTTCCCTCCTCTCCCTGGGACTCCATGAAGATGTAGGTTTTGCGTGTCCTCCCATCCTTCTCAGTTGTTGTCAGGATCAGTTCAGCTGTCTTTGTAAGTCTGAATACAGTTTTTCCCCTCTAATGGCCAGAAGCCAGGGGCATGTTTACATGCAATACTCTGGTATTTTTCTTGTTTGTGCAAATTCCACATTTGGTTCATATGAACACCCAAACAAACAGCTGCCGTGACTTTTTAAACCAGTAAATCTACTCAGTGCCTCATATCAATACTGACTATGGTTATTAAACAGCTTTGTTGAACTCCGGTTAAGAAGTTTTAATTGCAAAGGTTCTTTTTTGATTTGAAGATAATGTTTTCAAGTGGCAGTAATTAGAAAAAGGCCAAACAAAAGAAAGAACCAACCACTGCAGACAGGCACCTTCCACTAACAGCAACGTCCCTGAAGCAAGCTACAGGGCATTCTAGGCACATACTGCATCCTGCTGATCTCATCTGCTCAGGGAATTGCAAGACCTGAAGAATTTCTGGAAGAATTTGATAGGCAAATCACCCTCACAATATACATGGTACATCCACATTTGAATAACTTTCCTTTACTCATAAATTATGTCAATCCATTAGAGGATTTGCTGTGCTGACAAAATGCTGGCCACACACGGCTGAGTAATATATTAAAGTTAATAAGCCAGCTACCACTATTTTTAACCTGGCATCATTCTACAATGTTTAACAGTGAACAGTTAACTATTCATAGAAGGCTGCACCAACACACTAATACGGAGGGGTGAGGAGGGCAAGAACTTTTGAGCATTTCTGTTTATAGTTACCATTTTTTAAACAATTTTAACACAGGTAAAGGAAAATTAGGATTTAAAAGCTTTAAATCACTTATGCACAACTGACCTCTCTTGCTTCTTGCCCAGCTCTGCAAAGCAAGGGACATAAAGCAACTTGGATTACATTCTAAAATAGGCAAAATGTCAGCAAATACAGTTACTGCATATACAACTGAACAGTGTCGAGTAACAGAAGTGTGTAAGTAGCTTGAAAACAAGTAAGCCAGCCTGCACGACATGCTGTTGTTAGCTCTGGTATCTCCACACTACAGTTCCAGTGACTCTGATCAAGATCTTTCCGTGCCAAGGAGCCTGGGAACTGATAATCCAACAGGGCTGCCTGCGCAGCCCAGACAAGGTCAAGTGGTCCTAAAAAGGCTACGAGTCCCAGTAAGAGAAGCTGCAAAAGGGGGTAATGCTGTGATAGGCTATGAATTTGAAGGAGTGCAAAGAAAACAACCACTGTACACTCTAGACTCTTGGTCAATAGAATTGCCACATTTTTCATTACTTAATATCCCAAACTTGCAAAATGAGGTCTACATTGCCAGAAGAGCCTCAAAAGAACTTGTCATCCGAAGATATTTAAATGTCCCCTCCAAGACAGTTGACATATCTGCCACCTTTTTTCTTAACCCTCGAATTCTTAATCACGTTAAGTACAAGGGAATAAAACAAGCATATGCTTTGTTGTACATACACAACACCAGTAACACAAGATAAAGAGCTTTAGCATAACATTAGACTACTACTAGCAAAACAGGAACATGTTTCTCATCCTTCCCATTTGAACAATAAACAGTCACCACAGACACTAGAACCTTGAGTCAACCACTTGAACTGCATCTGCCCCTATGGTCTTTCTGTTGAAGAATGAGACTCTTGCATGTTTTAGAGGCATCTCCATACTCCCCAATTTACCTAATTTCAGAAAAAAAAGTACAAAAGAAGCTATGAGCTTTTGAGATCAACTACTAAAAGCCTGAAAAATGCAAGTAACTGCCATGCCAGCCACAGTGATAAAAATCAGCTTCTAGAATATCAGCCTACTGACACTCCACTGAAAACCTGTCTACTAAAAAAAGCTATCTAGCCATACCTTCTATTCCACATGGTGCTGTCTGGCTTCCTTCACATTTCTCCCTTCTTCATGTCTCTCCTCTCCCCTCACTCCAGTATTGCTACCTCCCACACTAGGCCTTGGGACTACAAGGAGTGACATACAGCAATACCGAGCTACCTTACTGCACTCATCTCAATCTCTGCATAAAACTACTCAAGTGAACACTGTTGTGTCTGACTAGTCACAGTATATGTGTGTGCACAGCGAATAAAACGCTGTGATATTTAGGAGATGCTCAGCTCTACCACATATGAACTCTTTACGTGAGCCAGACTCAGACTGAAAGTCTGTTTAACTCACTATAATATGTAATTTTCTAAAGACAAGTTTTAGTTCACTTGGAATAGAAATCAGCACAGACATATATTTCCATTCCAAATAAATTACCTAACTACATTTGAATTTATAAAACTACCACTTTGGCTGTCAAGCTTACTGCCCCCAGTTAAAGTGAAAATCTATTTTATCCCCTTAAGTAAAATCCTTTCCAGATTACTCTTCCAGGATCATGACAATTTCTGGCATTAATCATGAGGCATCAAACAAGGATATTATTTTTTCCGTATACTTAAAGTAGGACAATCTTTAAAAGTTACTCCATCTTCAAATTCAAAGCCGGATTAAATAGCATAACTATTTAAAAACATGGTAGCAAATAAATTCTGATTCTGTTAGACTATAAAATGCAATTCCCTTTCAAAGGTTCTGTTAAAGACCCTCCAAGTTGAGTAGCAGGTTTAAAAATCATTAAGACTTATTCTATTCCTACATATTGAAAAACTATTTAAAAAACCCATTATCTGGTTAACCTTAAGCACCTACTTTTTAATTCTTAGCAAAACCAGAACACTTTGATCACTTTAAAAGTTCAGGCATTTCTTCCCTTCAGAAAAGAATGATTTTATCAGCACTTCTGCCTCACTAATCTACCACTACTAATAAATTTGAGCAAAAGAGCAGTAATGAAAAATACAGTTATTTAAGGTCACAGATTAAACGATGTTTCTCAAGAAAACTCAAAAGTTCACGTTAACTCTTACTGAAATTGCTTGAGGCAGCCGATGCAAACAGAACCATATTTGTGCACCTGATTTCAAAGGAAAATTCTGTAGTAGTGAAGCTGGTAAAAAAGGATCTTCCTGAATTTTGTAAGTGCAAACTATCTTACTTCTGAAAGACTTATTTCTTAATAACATCCGTGCACTTCTGAGTTTGTTTCTGTCTTGACATTTTCTAAGAAACTCTGCTTTCCATTATATCTAGACTACAAACTTTAAAAGCAGCCATTGAGTCAACGTTTGTATAACCACCTGGAGTTCTGGGTTTGTTTGGTTTTTAATAATGTGTTATGCTACAATAAAGCAATTCAAGTCTTTCCAGACCAGGGATCTATCACCATATCCAAATTTTAGTCTCTGAAGACACTGTGTACGCTGAGCACAGTTCAAAGCTTCTATACATGCATACCACCCCCTTTCTCACAACATTCATGTAAATTCCAACACATGCCCAGGAATGCATATGCTGAGCAAGGTTTTTGTGTGACTATCCTTCCCATCTTCAGTTGCCTCTGTGGCACTAACAGCAGAGCAGAAAGCAGTGAGAACACCCTTCACTGTGCTCCTAGCATTCCTTCTGGTGTTCAGGAAGTATAATAAGGCAGTTGCTTGGGGCAGGGTGGGGAGGGTGGGGAACAGAAAGCAAAGAAGGATAAGAAGGAAAAGAAAAATACAGTAATAGAGTATTACACCTCCTGAGTAACAGCACTCAGGAGGTGGGGAGGTAGAAGAGAGGAAATTATTTCCTCAGTTAACATTTTCATAGAAATGGTAATAAAAGCACATTAAGATTGCACAGACAGCAAACAGAATTTAGGATGTGATATGAGTGTGTTCATGTGATAATGGACTGCAATAAAAAGCTTTCTTCTATCCTCCTTTCCTCTCCAAGCTCCCTGTTACACGATGTAGGCAGACTGAAAGAGACTAGTAATTCTATTAGCAAAGAAAGAACAACTATTTTCTTCCTCAGAACATTCCACAAGCACCTAGAATTTACATGATTAATTAAAAAGAATATAAACAAAAAACTACACTTGTAGTCTGTCTCTAAACAAAAAAAATCTGTCTTCTGAAATTCAGGTTATTCAAAACACTTTCCAGAAAGAAAAAGAATCATTTCATGAGTGAAGGGCAGTAAAGTCACTACATACAATTTACAACAACAGAAAAACAACTGCTGCCTTTTGTATAAGTGCACTTACCAAGTCACAGAACTCAAAAACTAGGAGATAAGGAATGGCTTCCACACATTGCCCAATACACTGGAGAACATTTGGATGCTGAAGAATGCTGGAGTGAAAAAATACAGTCAAAGCCAGAAAGATCACAGTATACATTATTTGCAGTAAAATACAACACACTGAATTCCTACCAGAAGTTTCAACACATAAAATTGTCAGGGGGTGGCATGAACAGAAGGTGCAAGTATCCAAAGCCAGAGATTCCATTTGCACCTTCATACCTCCCTTGTATTGCTGCAGCATATCACAGAGCAGCTGAAACTCAGAGCATCTCAAAATCACAAAAGCCAGCACTGCCACAAGAAAGTTACACCCATCCTCCCACCATCCCTTATACCCGAAATAAGCGTATGCAACTGGTTTGTGAACTACACCAAGGAACTGATCTGGCTAAAAGTAAACCCTTTTTTTGCCAGGTTAGTTCCTAGCCAGATCAGTTACTTTTTCTAAATTGCTTCAAAACCACTTGTGCCAATGCAGCAGAAGGCATGAGATTTCTTCTTCTGACAACTGCCAGCAATCTAAGCCTAAATGCAAATATACCTAGGACATTAGAAAGCATTAAGAATAGAAAGCTCTCTGTGACCACTCACTTGCAGCATATTCATGCAAGGTAAACCACACTACAGGGTATGTCTACTGAACTACAATACGCCTCTCTTTTCCAGTCATCCACAAAAGCCACACACTTGTGGCAGTTAGCTCTTCAGAGAATTCTCACCATTCCCAAAACACAGGAAGAGAAATTACACTCCCTTTAATATTCCAAATACGTTTCTAAAACACAAAGACTCAACCCCTGGAAGCAATTATCCTCCAAGCATAACACAAGAGGAAGAGAACACCAAACAATCCTGTCCTGTTGGCATTTCCAGTCAGACTAATGATTTCTCACTTGTAGAGTACTACTGGACTGAAGCTAGTGTAATCCTGGGGTTTTTTTGTGTGCCCAAGTCTCCTTGCAAGCTACCTGAACAAAATTAGGTTTTATCACTATGTTGCATTTAATTTTCTGAAAAAAAGAACATTAAAGAAATTAATGTATATCTGATAACAGAAAAAGTGTTGCCAGTTCCCC